TTATTCCACAATGACTAAGCCATCTCTTGTTGTCTCTTCTGATATACCCACAAAACTTGTCCCAGTTAGTTCTGATTTTTCTTTCTCTCATCACACTTATGTTCATCGTATTACGAGTGTGGTGTTGAATGGGAAAAATTTTGCTGCATGGAGCCATTTCCTTAAACTCTATTTAGGGGGAAAGGGGAAGGTCCATTGGCTTTTACCTACTACTACCCAACCAGCAACGACAGACCGTACCTGTGCCCAGTGGGACATTGATAATTATACTATCTTGGGATGGATGTTCAACTCTACGGTGGATCGTATTTACCACATGTTCCTTTATTGTGACACAATTCTAATTCTATGGCATGATGTATGCTCATGCTTATAATGATGCTCACATCTTTGAGCTCTATTAGGATTTTGCTTGTGCCTCCCAATCTACTTTGGGACTTTTTGTGGTAGAGTTCTTTGGATATCTTCAAGCCCATTGGGAAGAGTTGGCTCAATATGAGCCCTTAACTCAGTTACCAGTAAATGTTGCCTCTCTTGTGTCCAAACGCCTTGCTCGCCGGCATACTTATCAGTTTCTGATGGGTTTAAACTCTGAGCAAAACTCTGAGCGAATCTCTTCGAACTCAGATTTTAAACACATCACCTATGCATCTCTATATGAGGCTTTTGCCACCATTGATAGTGATGAGTGCCGTAGACGTCTAGTTCAGCCGAGCCCTCCTCCTATGTCTCCTATTTTATCTAGTCATATGGCTTTTGCTGCAAAGTTTGGTTCTCGGGGTTTTGCTGGTCCAGTTACTTGTCATCATTGTAGTGTTTCTAGTCATGTTAAGACTCGTTGCTTCAAACTTCATCTTGAGTTGAGGCAACGTTCTTCCTACCCTTATGGTATTGGCACCCCTCGCACTGCTGCTTTAGTGGAGGTTGCTTCTACTCCTAGGTCTCTCAATATCCCTAATTTACAAGGATTACAGACTTATATTGGTTAGCTTCAGGCTCAGCTTGGATCTCTCACTACTAGTTCTCATGGCCCATCGTCTTTGACTGTTGCCAACCTTGTTACTAGTACTTCTATTGCTTTCCATGTTCGGTTTGCTAGTCTCTCATGGGTTGTGGATTACGGAGCTAATGATCATATGAGGGGTGGGTTTTCCTTTTTTTCTTTTCTAGTGCCTACTATTATTGCCCAATCTATGTATCTTGTTGATAGTTCTTCATCTTCTATTTGTCATAAGGGTGTAGTGTCTTTATTCCCTACCATTACTTTATCGTCTGTTTTACATGTTTCAAATTTTGCATATAATCTCTTATCCATTAGGCCCCGTTTGTTAGAGCAGTGGGAAAGTGATTATAGATTATAACTTAACAGATTATAGCTTATAGCTGTGAGTATAAGCTGGTTACCTGTTGAGTGTAGTTGTGAGATTATAGATTTAAGAAATAGAGTAATGTTTGGTAAATAATCTATAAAATAGCTTTTTGCTGTGTAATTGTCATTTTTATCCTTATGAATATAAAAATTGTAATTTTTTCATTTTCTTCACTTTAAATTTTGAAAAAGTTATTTCATTAATGGAAGTTGATTAATTAGTACCTAATTTGGTAAATTTTTACATTACCTCAAATTTATTTTTTATATTTATTTATTATTTATTTTTTTAATAATATTGAGTTCACAAAGGAACAAAAACATGTCATTGCAATAAAAAATACAATAAATTACTATTAAGGCAATAAAAATAAAACTTTCTAGATATTTAAAGAACTCCTAATTTTGTCTGCAAATTGACATACAAATATTATGTCTCCTCACTTCTATTTCGTTGTCATCACATGCAACATCATTTTCATGGCGTGCTTGTTGAGATGAAGATCCTTCCTTTTCATTAGGCATATAATTCGTGAATCTATCATAAGAGGCAAATGTAATATCGCGGAACTCACTTCGCCGGATGAAATTATGAATTGCCATTGTTGCACAAACAAGTTTGACTTGGGTCAGCCATTTGTAGTTTGGTGGGATATCCTTTATCATCGGCCATCTTTCTTTTCAAATCCCAAACGTTCTCTCTATTACACTTGTAAGTGATGAATGTGCTTGGTTAAATTTTTCTTGTGCATTTTTTTTTTTTTGGAAAGGGGGTTGACCATGTTCAAATTGAGCTAGATAATATCTCTCTCCTTTGTAAGATGCAAGATATCCTTTCATGTTTGGATACCCAGCATCCACCAAGTAAAACTCATCTATTTTAAAATTTCAAAATGAAATTAAAGTAAACAATTATAAATGTAAAAATAAGTATGAAGATGTGAGTGTGGTGCATCTACTGTAGCAATCAAATATAAAACAGTTACCTCCTTGTGATTTTGGAAAATTATAACTAGGATTCCTAATTGTATCTAAGAAGATTCGAGCATCGTGTGCACTTCCTTCCCATCCTGGTAAGCAAAATGTGAAACACATATCAAAGTCACATGCGACCATTATGTTTTGAGTTGCATACCTCTTTCTACCTATTAAACGAGATTGCTTGTCTGGAGATATATATGCTTTGATGTGTATTCTGTCAATTGCTCTAATACAATCCTATTGCAAAATAGTTAATAAAAATATTTTTAGTCACAGATTATTAGAAATATCCTACAAACATTATTATATGTAACACCCAAGTTTCACTTGTAATTATTTTTTTACCTTGAAATGAGGATAATATTTGCGCTTGCTTCGAATATATAGATGCAGACCATTTCTCGGTTGAGGCCTTACCCAATCAATAGACATCATTGTAACAACTTTTAACACTTTTTGGAAGTATTTTGAAATAGTCTCATCGGAATGTTGAAATCTTTCTTGGACATTTTTGTTTCGAATGTCACCGCCAACAATATACAAAAATATTGCAATCTGCTCCTAAACTGAGACTTTTCATCCAATTTCAAGGCCATACTTTGTCTGTAACAAATCACACAATTGATAAAATACCTCTCTTTCTATTCAAAAATTTTCAAATATCCTTGTTCGATTCCCTTCTTGTAATTCTACCATCCATTTCCCCCCTGTTAAACTAGATGTCCTACATGATTCTTTTATCAAATAATTTGTCGCATATGTCACTGCAACTGTTGTCGCCATAGCTAAAAGCATATTATTATGTTGTTGGGTTTGCGATGTGCTGCCTTCATCTTCAATAGCTTCATCATGGTGATCATTATTCCATTCATCGTCTTTAAAATACCTACTTATTTAAAGGCTTAGTTACTATTACAATAATGACCTTACTTTCTTCTAATTAGATTTTAGTCCAAATTAAGCATTATAAATCATCATGACTTCAAGCAAAATTAATCTTATAGTTTAACTCAAATTTTATTTTTAATTTTAATAATTTAGTCCAATTTTAATTAGGTTATTTCGTTCAAATTAAACATTAAACTTAATGCACTAATGAATTAGAAATGCTTTTGGCTCAAAATGTATAATGTACTAATGAATCCTCATATTCACCTCTAGTAAAAAATAATAGGGCCAGTTTCATATCGTTTCATTTATGTGAGAAAATATTTTTTTTTAAATAAAAAAAAAATTGAAAATCTCACCTCACCTTTTTTTTTTTTTTTAAATTTTTTTTTCTGGGTTCTCTATATATCATAATTATGAGACTTCCTAAAAGTCTAGACTAGAATGTGGCATCAGTTAACATATATTTTTTATTGATTGCCAAATTTTGATTGATCTTCTCAACAGCAAATGAACTCTAGACTGGAGTATGGCATCAGTTAACAAAGATATTGCTCACTTAGCTATGTATTTTGATTTCTCATGTATTTCTAAAGTATCTAGAAATGTTGTAAAACCAGCAAATGAGCTAGCAAAGCTTGCTAACATTTTTAATGGTATGTGCTTTCTATTTCTTAAAAAATTAAAATAAAATAACCATCACCGAAAAAACCTTATATATTCTACTTCTTTTGCTTTTTATCAATTTACATGTGACCACCAAATAATCAACAAAACTACCCTCTGACAAGATGGAAAATAACTATTACCAAAACCCTTAAATATTCTACGTCATTTCGTTTTAATCATAATCGAATACCCACAATTTTTTTTTTTGTTTTTTGTTTTTTGTTTTTTGTTTTTTGTTTTGTTTTGTTTTGTTTTTAGAATGGGTATCTTTTTTAACTATCTTGGTCAAGCATACTCAATCACAAACACCTTGCATTACATGTTTGAACCTTATTTATCTGGAAGATCATGACAGGATTCAAAATTTATTAACTAACAAGTCCAACTCAGAAAGCTTCTGGTTCTAATTGATGCTTTTACTATCAATGAGTGATGATAATCAAAATATTTGTTTCAGATCCTAAACCCAAAATTATTTAAGAGCAATAGTATTAGTCTAGGCATGATGATTTGGACCACACTATTTGCATGCCAAAAAGGCCCAAAACCAGAGAGCAACAAAAGTAATGTACATGCATCTAGCCCCGATCATTTTCCATTAAGTATTTATTCATTTCTAATCCTAAAAGTCTACAGTGGGATTTAGGAAGAGCAACTTTTAGCAAGATTATAGGGAAAGTTGAAGCAGCTGTAGGAGTAGGAATGAGAAAACAGGCTATGTTTTTAAGAGTTTACCTCCCTGCTATGCATACATATCTCAGTTGTGGTGTATAGACAACTTTTGAGCAATGTTTTTCAACATAGTTCAGAAGGCCCCTTGTTTGATCAATAACACCAGGTGAACCTTTTGGAGGTGGCCTGAAAGGGTACAACTGATGTTGATATACAATATATATATCAAACTAAGCTCTACATATATATAAAAGTCTTCACCATTCACCTACCATTCATATTCAAGATTGAAATCAACCATTCAACTAACATTCAACAAGTCAACCATTCACCTGCCATTCAATTGAGAAAATGCCACCTACTCACCAACCATTCAACCATTCAACTAACAAAGTCTAACATAATTAAAGTCCAACAAAATATTAATAAAAGTCCAAATAAATGAGTCCAACATAGCAGTCTAACATAGTCAATATTAATAAAAAAAAAAATAATGAGTCTAACACAACAGTCCACAATTAATAATAAAATTCTTAAACATGAAATAATTAGAAAATTCAGAAACATCCAACTTCAGAAACAATTAGCCACGATAACCTGTGGTGGTCTTCTCTATCTCAATCTCCAACTTTAGAAACCTCAGTTGAACTTCATCCGTAGGAAGAGTTATGAAGCACTTACGGTGCTTGTCTCGTAAGAACAATCTGGCAGCCCATACATACAGCTTATCATTCAGGAACACACCAGGGATGCTTTCCAACTTCGCAAAACATTCTGCAATTGAAGGATATCTTGATGAGGTCTGTGTTGAAGTAGTTGAAGATGACTCAACCACATTGACTATACGATCAAGCGTCTTGTTAAGTAGAGCTGCACTAGTAAATTTCTTCTTTGTCTTGCTCGTGGTTGATGAACCATCAGTGTTTGATGGACGTTTTTTGTTTAACTCGGAAGGATGAACCACCTCCAAATCAGCATCATCATAAAATTCAACATCATGTGGGGTATGAAATTCCTTCAGAGTCTCATCAGTGTGAGGCATAACCCCTGAGCAAGGAGTGTATGCCCATTCTCCTGTAGCTGCTGCATCTGAGAATAATATGTCTAAGTCTTCAGTGAATTGCAATGGCATACGCCGAAATTTAGTAGCATCAAGATACCTTTGCAACAAGTACAAAGGAAAATTTAACAATTTCAAGTAACAAAATTTGGTCTATTTAAACAAAAAACAAACAGAATATGTACATTAAGCAATTCATTTACCTCCAATTTCTTGGTCCACCACTCATCAGATGCAGATATAGCTCCAGTCAATGTATCACGACCTAAGCCTGTCTCACCCCTTAACAAATTATTCCATAAAAGTTAATTTTTTTTCAACACATCCCAATGATTTTTCATTTGTATTCGTTGGTATGCTTTTCCAGTCATACTTTTAAACTTAGTTGTCACATTTTCCCACCCGACCCTGTCTAAGTGTGCACCAGATCTGTGTCCAACCTTCACTTGCTCAACACAAAGCTTAATAAAAATTTCATTTGATTTTGCATCCCAGTGAGCTTTAACGGATGGTACTTGACTTGATTTTCCCTTGTTCTTCCTATTATCAAATTGTGTTTCCTCTTGGGTACTCATTCTATGAAAGAATTTTTTTTTTTAAAAACAAACTCATTCATCAATGCTTGTATTACAACAACTAGATCAGTATAAAATAACCATACATGGCAACTACGTCAACATTCATTGGGTACAAAGCTTACTACAATAGTTCATGGTAAACTACATTAGCACGAAAGCACCAGGTATCTCTAAACAGCACCTGTCATCATTTGAAGAGTAATGCAACTGACATAACAATACAAATCGTAAGCAAACCCACAACAAACGGCTTCATGAAAGCATTGGTTTGCTCAAGCATTTGGTTCTTCACTTTTAGTCCTACAATCTCCATATTTTGATTTTGATCAAGCATTCTCTCGTTCCTCAGCCTTTCTACCATCGTCATAGATTTTGGGGTACACCACCTCCAAAATTGACAATTTCTCTTCTCACAAATAAAATACAGTCTCCTTTTAGATGGCTTGTCAGACTCGGTAAACCTTATGGCAGCTCTTAGCCCACAATCACATTTCAAAGCCTCATACCTCAAGTCGAAGTTCTTACCACTAGAATAATAATTACTAGAGGATGACATGCCTCTACATTAATTAGGAAGAGTTGAATCCAAATCCTTTAAAATTAATTGGGAAACTAATTGTAAATATATTGCACCCAAAAAGTATTGATTGAATAAAATGTTTCTAACATATATTGACAATTCGTTTGAACCCATTTGTTCCTAGAAAAATTTGAAGTGCACTGATCTTATTTCATATGAAAGAGTTATTTCTAAAAGAAGGTAGAAAATTTATCAAAGACAAAAATTTAAGTTGTTAAAGACAAAAAACCACTTTATTATTTACATATCCTTAACAAAATCTATCAAAGATTGAACTCATTGCCTTTGAATGAGAGACAAATCTAGTCTCTCAAAGCATCAAAATTGGTTGCAATGTTTTAATAAAGCTAGCTCTCTTTTCCATTAAATCTTGTGAATATTTCAAAAAATACCTTACTATAAAGTTGGCAAAACTAAAGTTATGGAACATTGAAGAACTAGATTGTGACTGGTAATATGCATGTAGTTGAAACCAATTGGCTAAAAAAAAAGGACTCTGCAGGTAAGGTATCCCTTGCAACAGCCAGGGTCTTTGAGTGGTATGTATACTATTAATTTATGCCCTTTATAAACCTAAATTAGTGGGAGTCTCATGTTATATATATATATATAACACTAGGATGCCAGCTAAATTAAATATATATATTTATGCCCTTTACAGACCTAAATTAATTTTGGTAATATTATAGTTCATGCAAAGGGTCATCATGGGAGACTGAAAGATCAAATACTTGTGGAGCTCAAGCTAGGACGCCGGCTTACTCTTTCTTCTCTCTTGCAAAACATGATGTGGTGGGCCAAATTTTAGATTCTTGAATTAATAATGGATATATATATTCAATTGTCTAAGACATACGGATCCTCACAAGATAATCTGATCAAGCTAAATATGAGTAAGAATAGACCGACTTACCAATCAAGTTTATCCAAATGTCAGTTAGTCATGAGTCCCATGTGACACACCATGTGAAAAACCAATTATAAAAAACAACTAAAAGGAGAAAAGGTTGCAGCTCATTCTAACCCTAATTCTCCCACTCTCTTCCTCTCTTTACTTATGAATTACTTAGAGATTATTGTAAATGAAATGTTGACTTAAACGTCAAAGGAGCTTTGGCCGGCATTGCTCCAATGACATATCCATCATTTATCTTTTTAAATCAAGGGAATTTTGCTTCATCAATATATATATATATATTGATTCCACAATATGAATAGTTTCCCTAATGGCTAGAACCAGCCTTGTGCAATTAAAAATTATCCTAATTTTTAGTAAATTCTTTCTCCTATCAGAATTGTAGATCTCTAATAAAATTCAAATCTTTCTCTATGTCTTGGTCCCTGAAGATTATGGTTTTGTACAATACAAAGAGGGTTCAATTGGCTTCTCCTCTAGTTTGATCAACATTATCAAAGTTCTAAGAATGTGTCAAATCTTAATTGAGCACAAACACAATTAAGCACTCACATTCCAAAACATCTAATGATTAAATAAATAAATGACAGATCGCAATAAAAAGGGGCTTTTTAACCCTAATCAGAGAGTGAAGAAGAGAGAGAGAGAGAGGCGTTTTCAACCCTATTCACAGAGTGAAGAAGAGAGACATTTCACCGTAATCACAGAGAGAGAGAGAGAGAGAGAGAGAGAAAGAAAGAAGACACCATTTCACATAACCAAAAACAAAACCCTAATCAATGTCCATACATGTATCTCAACCATGAAATCTTACCTTTTCGGTGCAGATGAACGGAAAACAGGAGGACGACTATTCTTGGAGAGGCAGACGACTGTTCTACAAGCAGGATCTGGTGCGATCAGATAGGTCGATGACTGTTTTCATGGGTGTTTGGTAGAGCTTCTTCTCGGTCGCCAGAGGAGAGGAGAATAAGAAAGAAGAGTGTGAGAGATGAGAGAGTTAAGGCAATAGAGATCATCAAACGATGCATTTTCGTAAATAATAAAGTTTGGGAGGGGCAATTAAGTCATTTCATCCCCCTACACCAGCTGCGCGCTTAAGCTAAAATATTAAGCACCCCCTGACTAAGTTTTCAAAAGAGCTGAAAATTAGCTTCATTTAAGCTATAAGTTGGTCAAGTTAAGCTGAACCAAACACAAGTTTTTAATTTAAATTAAGTTAAAAGCTGAAATAAGCAACTTATAAGCTCTACCAAACACCACCTTAGCCGTTTGTCAAATAATTTAATTGTGTTGTTGTCTTCTTAACCCCTTCTTACCTTTTACAGGACCTGAGTTTGAAGAGAATTTTTGGCAAGTGCTATGAGCGTGATAAACTTTACTACTTTAGGGATCTGCCGAACAAGCATTCATCTTCTTCTTTAGCTAGTTTTCAGGCTTTTGTTTTGCTTGCTTTCACGTCTTGTACTTTTAATATTCAAACTTTAGAATTATAACATGCTCGTATAGGTCATATTAATTTTCAATATTTATGTTAACTTTTTCTTTCATTTAATAAAGCTTGCAAAGGTTCTAGATTTCATTGTGTGGTTTGTGTGTTATCTAAGCATACTCATACTAGCTATATCCCTCATATGACTTGTGCTCCTCATGTTTTTGATTTTATACATCCTTATATCTAGGATCTTTCCCCCCGTCACTGTATTTTCTAGTCATAGACATTATGTGACTTTTATTGATAATCACCTTAGGTGCACTTGGGTTTATCTACTTCATCGTAAATCTAACGTGTTTCCTAGTTTTGTTCAGTTTTTATAAATGGTTAAAACTCAATTTCATACAGTTGTTAGGAATATCTGTTCTGATAATAGTAGGGAATATATTTCTAATGAATTTTGTTCCCATCTCAATCAAAGCGGTATTTTTCAACAACTTACTTGTCCTCAGACCCTTGAACAAAATGATGTTGTTGAATGCAAAAATTGTCATATTATGTTTGTTGTCCGATGTCTTCTTCAGGGTATGGTGTTCCCAAATCTTATTGGCATATGGTTGTTGTGGATGTTGATTTTTGACCACACAACCAAACGAGGAACTCAGTTGGAGAGCATTGACAGAATATATTAAGCCTAACAACCTACTCAAGAAGATGAGAATCTGGAGGTGATCCGTCTACCCGAGGGCACTCCGACAATCAAGTCAGTAATCAATATCTCTCACGGATAGCAAATAGTGCTTAAACTCACAAGAAAGAACTTATCTCAGACTCATGAGGGTGCCTTGATTTTATAACCAGCAATGACTTGATCCCTTTAGAAGACTCACTTCAATGGACTCAGGCTCAATGCTCATCCTGGACCCTCATTTAGATAGAGATAAACTCTTCTTGAGCCTTATTTTTATCCAAACTGAGATCCTCCCCTGTTATAGGACTTTTGTCCCTTATTTGCTTATCTCGGATTCTGGTATCTCCGCAGATAACTTTAGCCTAGCTGAGATCATCTCGACAGCATGACCAGGCCACGTGGCACCTCAGCTGACACTTCGACGTCACTTTATCCACGTGCTGTTATTCACAAAATACTCCCCACAACTGCCCCCTAGATTCTATTACCTCGTTAACCTGAGGTGATGGAACCTAAACCATTTGTCAATATAGCATGTCGGCTAAAATACACTCTTCTCTTCGACCGAGATCATGACCCGTTGGCTTCATATAACCAGGACTCAACTGTCCATTTTACCAAGAACCAAGAACCAAGAACCAAGGATCAATTTCTTGAAACACCTTAGCCAAGATTGCCCTTACAGCTGAGGTTATGACCTCACTTAACTCAAGAATTTAAGAGTTCTTACTCATTATAAGCTGTCACACACAGTCATTCTAACCGTTTTAACAACATGTCCTTTCTTCTTCAGTTTGTACCTGACACGCGCTATCGAGGTGCCTCATTCCTACCCACGCCGCCTGACAAACACGTCGTCTAAGGTAGCTCATTATGTTTTGCCGCCTTTTCACATTTTTAACAAAACTTCCTTTTTCTCTCTCTATCTCTTCACTTCGTATTCTCACATTCTCTCTATGCTCAAACTCTCTCTCTCTCTACACTCCTGAATCCTTCATTGCTGTGTTCTTGAGCTCCCTACAATCAGTGCAATCCTCTCCTCTGACGAGCTTTCCATCATTAGTTTCTATCGTCTGTCTCTAGCAAGCCATATTCCGGCGTCTTTTGTATCGGCATCGCTCGATAAGTCCTCAACTTCTTTTTAATTTTTGGCCATGTTCATCAATGTATCTGTCGCCATTGAATCTGTATTCACAACTATACTCTGTTTTTCTAATTTGTTCTTGAATTTATTCTGTGCTGTTTCACAAATTGTGTTCATACTCTGTTCGTGGTTCTTGCATATACCTATGCACTGTTTCACAAATTGTGGTTACTCTGTGTAAGCACATCTATTTTCTATTTCTCTGCTTCATTTCTTGATTTCTGAATCATGTTTCTTTTTTGGTCTTCTTGTTTGGTTTCTAGATTCCTGCATTCGATTCTTGTTTTTGCATAGACTTAGGTTTTAGGGTTTGATTTTAGAATTCTGTTTCTTAGGAAAACTGAAACAAAGATCCTCCCATTGATCTTCAGAAACCCTCAACCTAGTTCTCTAAGTTTTTAGCCGAAGTTTTCGGACCCATACCAATCATTATTTTCTGAAATCCAGTACCAGTTTCATTAAGCCGACATCATAGGTATGTTTAGGTGGAGGGTAGACACTCCGACCAAACTAGAACACTTCAGGCGAGAGTTCTCTATTCCAGCCGACATTTAAATCAGGTTGGCTGGGGAAGAGGACTCTATCATGCCTGATGGAGACTCCATGCCTTTCCCCGTAGTTGCCTTAATTGAGTGTGGACTTCGATTCCCTTTAGACACTCTTTTCCGAGAAGTCCTCCACTATTAAAAACTTAATCCCATGCAACTAGCCATCAACTCATATAGGGTCATAAACGGTATAATCGAACTAACAAGTTAAGAAAAAGTTAGGATCACACTTGCCAACATCTGGTTCTGTTATACCATGTATGGCCTTAAGTCTGACAAAGGCTACACGTACTACCTTAAACCCAAATTCACCGCCTTCAAACTTATAGCTGACCTCCCAGACTTCAACAAGGGTGCTGGAGATGACTACTTGATCATCTCGGGCAACTGGGAATTTGAGCCTGATGACGATCTTCATCTCTTTCCTCTGTGCCGAGTAGTGTTTAGAGAGGATGAAGGTAAGAACTGAGTCATCTCATAACTCCATCTCTGTTAAGACTTATCAATTTACATATCTGTAATAATGTTTGCTTCTTGCCTTTTGCAATTCTTCCCTAACCATCAAAAGACTTTCGCTAAACTTTCTTCCCCAGCAAAGATCTGAAAAGGTTATTGGGTTTGCTAGTTGAGAAACGTAAAGCCCCACTGCTTTAATTACATTCTGAACTACTAAAGTCCTCTGCCTAATACTCCCAGAAGAAGCAAGGCTTCGGCAGCCACTCAACCAGTTATTTCCTCACCAAGGCTTGATCAGGCCTCCTCATCAGATCCAGTGGACCAACCATCAACTTCAATTCCAGTCCAACTCATTCCACTATCCCAACGCCAGCGACGTTGCCGAGTTCCCAACGCCTCTGCTGGGCGAACCCGAAGTCGTAAGCACTGAGATTCTGAGTCATCGGCGTACAAACCAAATAATCCTCCAATCGCACTGCCTGCAATTCACTTTGGCCCCAGAGTCACCGGTATTGCCATAACCAACGATATGGGCCGCAGTCAGGCTGTCGTGGAAGATTTATTGGCCGACCTTCCAAGAGTTGTTACTGTTCACTCTTCTCTCTCTCAATCCCAACAAAAGCCCAAGCCAAAAAGAGTCAAAGAGCCAAAGCAAAGGCCTCTACCACCCAAGTTAACTCTAAAGATACCGTGCTGATCTCCAAATTAGCTGAGATCGAAAAAAACCCAACTATCGCCGATAAAAGGCCCGCTGAGGCTAAACCTTCCGACCAACAGCGTTCCAAGGAGCCAAGGTCAGAAGGCTCAATGTGGCTAGGTGTTTTCTGAGTCGACGAGCCTTAGGCCCCTGCATTCGTGGTTGGGGACCGACCAATGACTGCTACTGACAGTGCAATTGATAGCATTGAGGTCAGCTCTTTCCACCGCTAGTCTCTTGCCTACCGACTTGAATCGTATGGCCGAGATTACTGAATATGAAAATTTCGCGTTGATGATGCAACACTCTGTTTTGGTAAGTTTCCAGCACTTATACTTTTTCATTTAGCTTCGTGTTCAACTCCTTGTACTGTTAAGCCATTTTACTAACTTGTTTGTTCCTTTCCTTCTAGATTATCCAGCATGCTTACTCTTCGTAGTGAAGGCCGAGGCTTTCAAAAAGGAGCTAGTCCAGAAGACTCAAGATGCTACTAGCTACCTTGCCTCCCTTAACAACGCTGAGGCCAAGATCAAGGTTTTGCTAAATCAAGCCAAGGCTACCAGACGCGCGCAAGACCGGGCCGAAGAGAGGGCTGAGGCAACTAAGGCTGTGGCCTAGGTACTCAAGTCCGAGATCAGGGACGTCGAGGTCAAAATTGCAAAAGCCAAAGCTAAACTCCAGGAGGCCCTGGCCACAAAAGAGGCTGAGATCCAGGCAGCCGACCAAAAGGCGTTCTTAGAAAGACAAGCCGCTATCCGGGATGCATACAAAGCCCAAGTCAATCAAGCTTGCAACCGAGGTTATTACCTCGGCTGGACGGTGGCACTCAACAAGTTGTTTGTCCAAATGGACTCTCTACTCCGAGATATCAACCAACTCAGCGTGCCATTTCCCCCTTTTCCAAAAGACTCTGAAGACGAAGCCGAATAGGAGGAGGTCGAGGCTGAGGAAACTGATGAAGAGGATGAGGTTGTTACTGATGCTAGGTCCCTTACTCTG